CTATATATATATATATATATATATATATATATATATATATATATATATATATATATATATATATATATATATATATATATATATATATATATATATAGAGATCAGGAGTACTTGTACATATTATTTTAACAGTACAGAATAACTTGATCAATCAAAGAATAAAAAATAAAAATAGCAAGAAACTACATATATATAAAAGGGGAAATAAAAGAGATCATTTGATCATATTTTAAAAAATAAATAAATAAACAAATATATAAAATCAGAGTTGTTAATTAGTTAACAACTAGTTACCAGCTCCAGGGCTGGGGCCAGATTTCTTGATTCCACCTAGGGTTAAAGCATGCCCATCTCCACCATGGCTCGGCCCCCCGGTTTTCACCCCCTCGACGTACAAATCCTCCAAAATTTTCACAATATCCATTTCAATGGCGGACTTGTGATTTTGCTGATAATTAGCATCCGATTTCAATACACGAGCTTCAACAGAGAAGAATAAACAACCCATAACAATAACAACAAGAACAAGAACAAAGAACAATGTGACGGATTTTACGCCTTTGGCCATTGCTAATTTTAACGAATTCTCGGTAAATCGTTGATTAATTTTATAACAAGTTAATTAATCTAGAAGATGAGAATTATTGATTGTTTAAAAGATGATGAGGATATTGAGAATTTGCTAGTGTTATTTATAGACTCAAGCATGCATATATGCATGCAAAATAAAGGTAATGTGAAATGGGAATTTTGACTATGATTAATAAAATTTGAATTTTATGAAAAGTGTTTGGACTGTGAATTGCCGCCAGGCCTGGAATTTTATGTTAGATGCATGTGGAAGTAATTTAAAACAAGTGATTTTTGGGCATGAATTTTGGGGGACAAAAGGGTGTTAATTAGAACCTTGAAGAGTAATCCAACTTTGATTGTTTAATTCAACTTCTATAAGTCCACAACATAGAAGTATTTTGTTGAATATTGGTATATACTAACATATGTTGAAATTTCAATGGATTAACTAAGATGTTTCGGGCCTATTTACTTACTTTTTAAGGGCATTTGAAATTAAATTCTCTAAATTACAATGGAAACAAAATTTCAATCGACTCAATTTGTTTTTTTTTTGGTAGTAGAAATTCAATATAAAAATTATCATTAATTTTCTTTTACCTGAAATAGTCTAAAACATTCGATAGAATTGGGCAATCGGGTGATCCATCACAGGAATTTCGTTACTTCGAAAATTTGTACCGTTTTCTGAACCGAACTGTTTGGTTCAGTACGATTTTTTACCGAATTAATTCAGTTTTTTTTTTGTTCAATACGATTTTTTTACCGAATTAATTCAAAATTTTGGTTCGGTAATGGTAAAATCGAAAATATAATTGAATATTTTAAAATGTAAAAAAAATATATTTATATTAATTAATTCTTGAATTTAAACTATTTAACCTAAGATGTAGCAGGCATCAATATCGTATGCCGTATCGAATACCAGAATTCCAAAAAAATTGTATCGAATACGGAACCAATTTTTTAATTCAATCTTTAGCACGGGCCGAATTTTCATTTCGGTTCGATCTGTTCACCGGCCGAGTGAACGCCCCTAATCCATCCAAACTTATGATTGTTAGCTATGTTTAGTATTATGTAACACACACGTATGCAATAAATAATGTAAACAAATACCAAATGGAGAATGAAACTAACAAGAGTCAAAATTCCAAATTAGCAACATAAATAATAATGCATCTCCAAACCCACTACAGCTGCAATTGATTGGTTGGTTAATTAAATGGCACGTTCTTAGGTCCCTACAATGCAAAATAATTGAAGTCCAACACCAAATTTACCTTCTTTTTGAAACACTTTCTACTTTCCAAAACAACATTTAATAAACACTTCTTAAAAGTTAAAGATGATATTCTTAAAAAATAAATAAATAAATAGAGATCGTGAAATTATTATAATTTGTTCCCCTTTTCGAAGGGAACAAGAGATGAGCTTTGAGCCTTTGACACTACACCATAACTTATCAAAAAAAAAAAAAAAAAGACTACATTATAACTAAACTTGCTACCTAGAAAAAAAAATGTTGAGTGGATGTCACTAGGTGCGTAAATGAGTCGAACTTGGCTGTTTTGGCGAGTTCGAGATCGAGTCTATCTTGACGAGCTCGAGCTCTTCGAGTAGGAGTGTGAACGAGGCAAGTTCGCCAGAATTTCCATGCTCAAGCTCAAGCTCGTGTCCAATTTTGCGAGCTCAAGCTCATTGAGCTTTCATTTTCCAGGCTCAAACTCCATTGGATTCATCGAGCTCGAGCTCAGCTCATTTTTTTTATTTTGAGTTTTTGTCTTCTAATTTTTATATTAATATTGCTTTATTTTATCATTATAATTTATTTATATGACTATACAAAACAAAAAATAAATTATAAAGATATAGTTTTTAATTTTTATATGTATTTATTTAATATTATTTTTATTATTATGTATATATTTAAATAAAAATAAATAAATAAGAAGCTCGCGAGCCGGCTCGCGAGGTGTGGAACAATTATAATCGGGCTCGGGCTCAAAATACCGAACTCGAGTTCTAGCTTTTATCGAGTTCACGAGAAGGCTCAACTCATTTACCACCTCTATCTCCGAGTATCTTTTTTTATCTCCGAGTATCTTTTTCTGGCCTCGAGATCGAATGACTTGTAATTTTTTCAATATTATATATATATATATATATATATATATATATATATATATATATATATATATATATATATATATATATATATATATATATATATATATAGATAAACATATATATATATACATATAGGGTTCAACTCGTCGGGAAGCTCGAACACAAAAATTCAAGTTCGATTCAAGCCGAATCAGCTCATTTACACCTTAGACGCCACAAAGAGGATAACTCATTTGGGACACAAAAGGTAGATTAATATTTAGACTCATCTAAATATAAAAATAAGCAAATGATTAGAATTAACAATTTAGCAATTGAGCATTGAATATAATTATGAAGAAATACGTTCACAATAATTAGGAGAAAGAGAGAGGTAACATAGAAAAAATATTCAAGCACAAGGTGCAAGCATATGTTCTTCATTATTTATTAAAAAAATTATTATAAATGCCAGAAACAGAATTTGAAGAAAACCTAGGTAGATTTATCCAATACAATAATTATACATATGTTTGGAATCCAACAAGCCATTATATTACAATTCAGAGTTCGGAGAAAATATTAAATAAAATCAAATTAAAAAAAAAAAAAAAAAAAAAAAAAAAAAAAAAAAAAAAGAAGTTACTCTGGTTTCAGAAAATCACAAACAGGTTACAGATCGACGAAAATTAATTTAATTTAATTTAATTAATTCCTTACTTGCTTCGATTATTGAAACTCATCTTCTCAAAGTACTTAATCGAGAGTAGAGAGAGTGAGAGATTCACCTCATCTTTTCCCCACCTTGCCTTCGACCTCGCCGAACCTACCGCCGGCGCCGCCGCCGGAGGAAGGCAAGGCCAGGCGGAAACTGCCGGCGGCGCTGCCGAAGAAGAAGAAGCGGAAGAGGGAGACGGCTTCAGCAGCGGCCACAGGTGGCTCGAGTAGAGCCGCCGGAATCCGCCGAGGGCCAGAACGACGGCGCGGAGCTGCATCGGGCTGCGGTGGTAGTGCCTGGTGCAGATCAGCTCCCACAGCCGCTCGTCGTGGGCGGTCCGCTTCCACTGGCGGCTGACGCACGCCGCCTTGGCTAGGGTTCGGCCGTCGTCGACGTGGCGGAGGACCTCGTACAGGAGATTCTCGTCGAGCAGCACCGCCTCCGCCTCCTTCGATATCTCCTCCTCCGCCGCCTCGTCTCCTTTACCTTCCTCCTCTTGCTTCATCTTCTTCGCGTCATTTTCGCAGCCTGCAGCGCCGGGATCCGCGCATCCGGCGGCGGCGGGGTGGTTGTCTTCGCCGTCGGGGAGGGGGCGTTTCATCGGCGGATCGGAGGTGCTCTGTGATTGAAGATTAGGGATATTTGAGGTTTTGTGGATTTGGGGGTTTCGATTTTGATGAGGGGAAAGGGAATTTTGATGAATCTGGGTGGTTTCGATAAGGTCAAGATCGGAAATGAATGCTTTTGGCGTTACTCGTGTCGGGCGTGTCTACGATAACATTTCTTTGCCATTTGGTCCTTTTCTATTTGCATTTCTATCAGAGGAACCCATGAAGTTACTGAAATAAGAAATGTGGACACATTACCTCTCCCCATACAATAATTTCACTTTGTTTTTACGGCCGTGTTTGGTTGAAAAAATTAGCTATGATTAACTAAATAATTGATTAGGGATACTTAATAACTTTACGGATTGACCTAGAAATAGTATGTTATTATGGGTTATCTTGTTTTTTAGGAAGTTTTTTTAATTGGATGTTCCACGGTCCAATAATATAGTTAGGTCTCACTAGATTATTTAATTTTAGGATAAATTACAACCAACCCTTGAGGTATGGTCAATTTACGAAAAACCTATCTTGTTTGGATAATTACATTTACCCCTCAATTATGATTTTTTCTTACACCTCCATCCTTATGGTGTCAAATTCAACATAATTATCTAGATTTCGTGGAATGTGCTCTAGTTTGTACTCGTATTGTGTAAAAGTACAGTTTCTGATGCACCACAATCTGATATATACAAGCCAAGAAACACATATTATAATCATCTTACATCAAAATGTGGAGTTAGAATAGGATAAAACGGGTACAAAAGTGGTAATATTCATATAATCCCGAAGATTCCACTAAATTTGAAACTGCAAGGATGGACGTGTAAGAAGATTTATAGTCGAAGGATGATTGTAATTACCCACACAAAAAGGGAGTTTTCGTAATGTGACCATACCTCAGGAGTTGGTTGTAATTTACCCTTAATTTTATTAATAGATAAATCATATATTGACAACCACACGAAGTCTTGAATAGTGAAGCCCTTGAGAAGGAAACTTTATTATTAACTGATTTTTCCAATGGAAAATATGCCCAATCAAAAGTCATAAATTGAGCAAGTATATATTTAGGACTTATTTCGTTGGGAAATTAGCCATTATTAATTAAATAGTTGGATTTTATTTCATGTTTGGTATCTCTAATAATTTGTCGGATCGATCCGCAAATATTATGTTATCGTATATCTTGCCTTCTAGACATGTTTATTATTGGATCATCGAAGGTCCAATAATATAATTTGGTTTCATTAGATTATTTGATTTTATCTCGGTTAATCCTATTTTGGCAACCAAACGAGACCTAAGGATAAATAAAACTTAACCCACGTGGTTAGATAGTAGTCTATGAGATGCTACATCCGGTAAAAAAATATCGGATGATTTTGCATCATGAATTAATAACCACCCACTAATCACACACGCATAAGTTTTTGTTATTATGTGCAGATCAATGATATATAATCACCAGATGTATTGTACCGGGTTTAGCATTTATAAAATCAGGTTGGACCCATTTGCACATAGTCCTCCGGTGGTATTAATGTAGTCTCATGATTATCAATTTGGGTAATTCTTTTGAAGGAATGTAGGAAGTGTTTGGAAATGTTTAAGGTTGATATGAAGTTGAAGTAGCCTACAGGTCATTAAGGTAATAATTATAATAAAATTTGATGTTCTTTAGTTTTCCAAATGAAAAAAAAACAAGTAAACAAAATAATAGCAGCATAAAAATTCTTTTATGTTATTTGGCTTTAGTTTAAAGTGATCTACTTGTAAATGTATTTTCGAGCGAAGGAATGATTTTTTTTTATTATTGTTTAGGAAGACATTATATTGTAAATTCTATAATATTGTTCAGTCAAATATATTTAATTTAAGTTAGATTTCGTGAAATTTTGGTATTGTATACTTTTGGAAAGCAAAAATTTGTGTTTTAGGGAGTCCTAGTGATTTTTGGTATGTGTTTATATTTGTGTTGGGAAATTACACTCATTTTTGGTATGCGGTTACATTTCTGTATAGGTTTCAATGTTAATTCAAAGAAAATAATGAAAAATATCTACCAGTATTATCAACGGTTTTCAACTGTCGAGAAATGTATTGTTGACGGTTTTGAAAATATGTGTGAGTATTTATGACTGTTCTCAAAGCGTTGAGAAACATTATTCTTGACAGTTTATTTACACTTGAAAGTATATATGACGGCCTTTTTCTTGACGGTTTCCTGACAATAGAAAATCGTCACAAATAATGTTCCCGACGGTTTTTGTGCGTCGCATAAAGTAATAAATGTTATAGTGTCTCTCAATCTTTTTCATACTACAACTTTTGAATTTTTTTTTAATTTAATTTTAGCTATTTTAATTTATATGTTAATATTTCCAATTTATAACGACTCTTAGTGTAACTACTGAGAGTGTTAATTACTATATTCTTTTAGGGATTATTAGCAACACCCCCTCATCTAGGAAATGTAGTTAAGGAAACCCCACCAAAAAATAATTAGAGAAAACCCCTTTACTAATATTCCATTCAAATGTGATTTTTAGAATTCCAAAAATACCCTTAAATGGTCGTGACTCGTGACATCTTTTGAGACCAGTTAAGGCATTCTAAGAAGCGGCAAGTGGGTCTGCCCCAAAAAAAAAGAAAAAAAGAAAAAAAAAAGTAAAGAAGAAGAGAGCTCAACACCACTGAAACCTCTGTTGGTTCTCCCTCTTCTTCTCGAATTCTCTCCCTCTCTCTCTCTTGTCAGCCTTTGAATCGTCATCTCTTCGGGTTTATTTTTTATTATCTGAGTCTGATTATTTCGGTGTATTTTAGGTTATGCAACTGACCCAATGGTTCCGATGCAGGACCCACATGTTTCTTCCTTGCCCTTGTCGCCCACCGTTGCATCTATAATTTATAACCGTGCCCTTGCATGATTAACAATTTTGCTCTGTTATTTTTCGTTTTCACTTATGACCAGTACTTGATTTATATCTAGATCGTAGAAACGGAGGTGGAGGGCGGCGAGGCTGGAGGCGAGCTCGACGTTTGGGCTGTCGAAGAAGAGATTCTCTTGGAAGTGTGTGCTGCGGTGGTGGTGAGGAGAGAGGATGGCAGAGAGACGCTCGTGGCGGAGGATGGGAGGCGAATCTTTACAAAATGGGGTTGTGGTTGACGCTGTAGTAGGGTTGGCAGCGGTGTGGTGAAGATGGTATGTTTAAGTTCAAGGATTGTGGGTGGGATGAAGTCGCAAGGTGTGGGATGGAATGTGATGAAGTTGCAAGGATTATGGGATGGTGGGGCGTTGCGACGGTGCGGGATGCAGATTTAGGATTTTTTGGTGGATCAGGCGGAGGACGGCGCGTGTAGAAAAATTCCCGCAGGCTGGATCCTTAATCGACTATGTACATGTTCAATAATCGATTAAGCTAATCGACTATGTTCTGGCGGTCGATTAATGTTGATCGACTCCATTTTTTTTTATTTTTTTTTGGATTTTTTGTTTATTGATTCCAAGTGTATAAATCAATTATAATGTTTGTATATTTTTTGTTTTTTGTAAAATATAGTTGATTTTGCATTTTTTCGCAATTATGATTTGTTATGTTTAGTAGCAGATTCTTAATCGACTATATTTCATCATAGTCGATTAATATACCTGATATAGAAAAAAAAAATTTAAAAATGAAAGATTTTCCTTAATCGACTATGAAGCATAGTCGATTAAGGCTAATCGACAATGCTTCATAGTCGATTAAGGAAACTGATACAGAAAAGAAGGGGGAAAAATGGAAAAGAAAACAAAAAATCGCTGAGCGCGTGACCAAGTGATGATGTGGCGGGCGGGGGTAAAACCGGGAAACATAATGGGTAAAAATGGTTGTGGGCTTTTCTCAAATGGACTGAAATATTTTGGACTTCTCTCCATTAAAAAAAAGTAATGAGGGGGTTTCCTCAAAGAGCCCCATTCTTTTAACTTTTATATTTTAGGGGTTTTTACAAATAAGCTCATCAATAGGTATTTATTCATAAAGAGATCCCGACAATAAACTCTTTTACAAAAAAGTTCAGACATGGTCCAAAATTTGTTAAAAGACTAAAATAGCCCCTCATACTTTAATATGCTCTAATTTCATCCTTTAATTTAATTTAACCTCAATTTGACCCCAAATTTCAAAAATTATTCAATTTTGACCCAAAACACATTTTTATGGACAATTTTGACCCCACATTTTTTTTCTTTCTGAAACATTTTTTTTTTTCGTTTAAACAGCAATATTGCTGTGATTGACAGTAAAATTAACTATATTAATGTTAAACACAGTAAAATTAACTATACTACAGTTTAACACAATAATATTGTTATATTAATCTCTAGCACAATAATATTAATACAATAAAACTCATTATTATTGTGTAATAGAGTAATATTACTATGTTAACCGTTCAACAAATGTAAACATAATAAAAAGCCAAAAGAATTAATATTACTGTGAGTGACAGTAATATTACTATAACAACAGTAATATTACCGTCAACCACAGTAATATTACAATAATAGACAGTAATATTATTACGTTACTCCGTGAATAACTCAAACAAACAAAAAATCTAAACAAAATAATAATATTGATGTGGTTGACAGCAATATTACTATAACAACAGTAATATTACTGTCAACCACAGTAATATTGTTGTGTTTACAGTAATATTACAATAATAGACAGTAATATTATTACGTTAACTCCGTGAATAACTCAAACAAAGCAAAAAACCCAAAAAAAAATAATAATATTGATGTGGTTGACAGTAATATTATTGTGTTTACAGTTATTTTACTGTCAATGGCAGTATACGTTGACTTGTCAACAAATCAAACAAAATTAAAAAAAATAACAGAAAATAAAAATAATAATATTACGTTAATTTACTGTCAACAGCAGAACAATTACATAAATGTATTGTCAACGGCAGTACAATTACGTTAATGTACTGTCATTGACAGTATAATTACGTTAACTTACTGTCAGTGACAGCACAATTACGGTCAACGTTTAGCGACGGACGTAAAAAAATGAAAAATAATAATAAAAAATAAAAAAACACTAAAAAAATAATAAGAAGTCAACGCCGGAATCCGGCGGCAAAAAAACATACCAGAAAAAGGAAAAAAAAATCAAAAAGTCAGCGTCGGAATCCGGCGGCAAAAAAAAAATTTGGAAAAAAAAATGTCAAAATTGAATTTTTTTTTGGTCAAAATTGATTAAATTGGGATTACAATTAAGAATTGGGTATAAATGGTTGGTAGTAATTTTGTCGTATATATGAATGTTTCATTTATTTATAGGGGCTCTATGAGGAAACCCCCTCATTACTTTTTTTAATGGAGAGATGTCCAAAATATTCCAGTCCATTTGAGAAAAGCCCACACCCATTTTGAGCCATTATGTTTTCCAGATTTGCCCCCGCCCGCCACATCATCACTGGGTCGCGCGCTCAGCGATTTTTTTTTTTTTTCGTTTTTCCCCCTTCTTTTCTGTATCAGTTTCCTTAATCGACTATGAAGCATAGTCGATTAGCCTTAATCGACTATGCATAGTCGACTAAGGAAAATCTTTAATTTTTTAATTTTTTTTTTTGTTTTTTAATTTTTTTTTCTATATCATGTATATTAATCGCCTATGATGAAGCATAATCGAGTAAGAATCTGCTACTAAACATAACAAATCACAATTGCGAAAAAAATGCAAAATTAACTATATTTTACAAAAAACAAAAAATATACAAACATTATAATTGATTTATACACTTGGAATCAATAAACAAAAAATCCAAAAAAAAAAAAAAAAAAATGGAGTCGATCAACCTTAATCGACTACCAGAACATAGTCGATTAAACCACACGTAGTCGATTAAGGGCCCTGCCTGCGCGAATTTCTTTTTCTGCGCCGTCTTCCGCCACAATCCACCAAAAAACCCTAGATCTTCTCTTCATCGTCACCACGTCGTCGCCACACCACACCATCACCACCCCACTTCCATATTCTAACGGTTTTTTATACAAACAATCAAAACGGAACCATGTACTACGGTCAAAATCACCAAAACAAAGTCACCTATATCAAAAAATATGCAGCAAAATTAGATTAAAAATTCATAACAAATAAGTAGAATGAAACAAAACTACCTTGAGTGCGTATTTTGCAGCCCCCATACAACTCTAGATTTCTATCTGCAATTAGATTCCCGATCTCCAATTTTCAAATCTCAAACCCGAAACAACGGAAACAAACACTACTTCAGAAAATCAAAACCATAAATAAAAAGTAAATCTTAGAAATTGACGAACGTGCGCATCTCTTCCGGTGTGGAGACTCCCCTCGAAGTTCCAATCGCCAAACCTCCGCCCGCGCCGCCTCGGCGCCGCCTGCTACCATCGCCCCATAGTCGGACCGCCACCAAACACTCAGATCAGATCATGTAGAGAAGGAAAAAAAGAGAGAGAAAGAGATGAGAGTGGGAAGAGATGAAAAAAGAAAAAAGAAAGAAAAAAAAACGGCGTAAAACATAATTAGGGTTTTGAAAAGAGTATATTGGACAATTAAGGGTAGATTTGGAATTATGAAATAATATTTGGATGGAATATTAGGTAAGGGGTTTTTATCTAATTATTTTTTGGAGGGGGTGTTTTCTTAACTCATTTTCCTAGATGGGGGGTTCTTGCTAATTATCCCTTATTTATAATAAATATTAAAGGATGTGCTTATTGGTGAAAGAAATATAGCTCATAAACCTAGAATAATAAAGATGTTTGGTTAGAAACCTATGCACAAAAACCCATATATTTTATGTTTGATTGTACTTTATCATATTAGATACCGAGAATTTAATCTACATCAAGCGTACTATCCATTAATTTCGTATATTTTGCTAATTAAGTTAATCGTAGTAGAACAATATCTTTTTATTCAAATATATAGTATTCACAATTTTACAAAACAAAAATATATATATTTTGTTCACGAACTTATAGGCATCATTATGTAATTAAGTAAGGTTAATCATTATGTAATTAAGTAAGCTTCCTTTCAAAACCAACCCTCATTAGAAGAATTGATACATAATCTATAATATTATAGTAGATATATAGGATTCGAATCATACCCCCTTCTCCTTAATTTGAAACTATTCTTCACTAGAAGAATTGGTACTTAACATCTATTAAACTAGGGGTGTAGAGTTTGAATTCTATTCCTCCCTACTTTCCCAATTTGTAACAAGGTTCGAATTTCTAAAAAAAAAAATTGTAATTAAGTGAGATTCATTTCTCTTGGTTGTAGTTCAAATACTCCCAATGTTCCACAATACCTCTGTTTTTTTTGTAATTTTTTTTTTCTTCCATATTATATGTCACTTTACAAATGTAATGCTACATTAATTATATATTTTTAACTCTCCAACACTCTGTTTGCATTAATTCATAAACATCGATATTTTTTTGGTCTACCGATATTTATTTTCCTAAAATCAAGCCGTATTTATTAAGATTTTCTAGACTTACCAAAATTTAAAACAGACATATTTTTACGAAATTATGTAATTTCAACTTTAATTCCATGCACAAAATGTCATACTAGAAGACAAGTCCCATGATAGGAAAGGCAGCATGGAAGAAAGTACCAACCACACATACACAAATAAAAAAATTCCTTGTCAAACAAGTCCAACTTTTACACCACCCACCACAATAAAATGATACAAACCTTGTTTTCTATGTAAAAGATTTCCTTGCTCAAAACGCAACATATACAAAAACACACACACGCACAAAATAATAATAAAAAAAAAAAATAATAAAAAATAAAATAAAAAATCAGTAGCATATATAAACTGAAGTAACACAGCTTCTCATAGTTCATACTCAATCTCAAAATCCAATATTTTCTGATAATAACACTAATTAGTAGTGTCTCATGGAATATTCCTCTTGGTTTTACTCTGTTTCCTTATTAACCCTTCTTTTCGCCGTTTCCCTCTCGAAATTAATCGTTCAACGCAAACGTAACCGAATCAAGAACTTCCCTCCGAGCCCGCCCGGAAAATTACCGATAATAGGCCATCTCCATTTACTCAAAACCCCACTCCACAAAACCCTAAACCAATTTTCTCAAAAACACGGCCCCATAATCTCTCTCCGTTTCGGTTTCCGTAATGCAGTCGTTCTCTCTTCACCATCCGCGGTCGAAGAATGCTTCATAAAAAACGACACCCTCGTACTAAACCGGCCGAAGTTTCTCTCGGGCAAACTCCTCAATTACAACTTCACCACACTGGGGGCCGTACCCTACGGCCCCCTCTGGAAAAACCTCCGCCGCCTCACGGCAGTCGAGATTTTCTCCACCGCCCGTCTCAACGGGTTCTCGGGGATAAGACAAGACGAAACAAACTTGCTCCTCAAGAAATTGTACCAACTTAGTTCTCGCGGAGGGTTTGTTAAAGTGGAAATGAAGTCGAAACTATCGGAGCTTTCGTTCAACATCGTCATGCGAATTGTGGCGGGGAAGAGGTACTTCGGAGACCATGAAATGGAGAACGAGTCGGAAGCGAGGAGATTTAGGGTTTTGATAGAGGAGTTGTCGTATTTGAGTGGGGCGTCGAATCCAGGGGATTTCTTGCCATTTTTGCAGTGGTTTGATTATCAGAATCTCGAGAAGAGGATGATTATATTGCAGAAGGAAATGGATTCTTTCTTGCAAGGTTTGATTGACGAGCGGAGAAGAAACGGAGATTGTGGTGGAGAAAAGACGACGATGATTGATTCGATGCTTGCTTTGCAAGTTTCGGAGCCGGAGAATTACTCTGATCAAATCATCAAAGGCATAATACTGGTACGTACTTGTATTGTCTGAAAATATAGGGTAAATTACCAAAAACTCATTGAACTAATAAGGTCTAACTATAAAAAAAGCTCCTCAAATATTGATAATTACAAAAAAAAAAAAAAAAAAAAAAAAAAGGGGCTTTCCCTAATGTTCAACTTAGGAGTGAAAAATTGAAACGAAGTTTTGGATTTTCACCAATTCCGATCAGGTCCAAAATGTTTTGATTATTTAACTACCGAATTCTAATTCTTCTGAATTTTTTCGATTTGGAATTGGAAAAAATATGAGATTCCAATTTTCGATCCCATTTTAATTTTCAGAAAAATAATTCCAGTTTGTTTCCGAATTTTACACTTACAAATTCATATATATTATTATGTATTTGAAGTGACTGACAATTTTGAAATTTTGAACTCCGACGATTTTGATCCGATTTTTTTTTAATTTAAGAAGAAATATTTTCATTCTATATTACGGAATTCCGATTTTTAATTTTTTTTGAAACGAATTTGGAATCAGTTTTTCACTGCCGAAAAAATCGAAAAGTTTCATAAAGTGCAAATTTCGATCCCATCAATCCAATTATTTCTACAACCTAAATTGAATAGGAATTAAAATACTATAAATTACCAAAATTCCCTAAGGTATTCATAATTACTAAAAGTCACCTAAAGTTTGTTTCCATCTAACATTGGTATTTAGTAATATTATTATAAATACCCCATGAGGATAAAATCCGGTTTTTTTTTTTTAGAAAAATATTCCTATACTGAATTAAAAAAAGAAATCATCAAAATTCACAAACTAAGAAAATAATGAATTACAGGGTGGTTTTGATGATTATAGATATGTGAGGGTTTTTGTTGTAAATTGACCTTAGTTCAGGGCGTTTATGGTAAATTTACCAAAGTATTATAAAGTGATCTTGCTTGTATTTACTTCTTAATTAGGTTGTGCTAATGGCTGGCACAGACACGTCAGCAGTGACAATGGAATGGTCAATGTCACTTCTCCTCAACCACCCAGACGTACTCAACAAGGCCAAAACGGAGCTTGACCGTTACGTGGGCGAATCCCGTTTAGTCAACGAGCACGATATTACGAAACTGCCATACCTCCGTGGAATCATAAACGAAACCCTCCGTTTATATCCAGCTATACCACTCTTGGTACCTCGCGAATCCTCACACGACTGCAAAATCGGACCGTTCGATGTACCCGGTCAAACGATGCTTCTGGTCAACGCATGGGCGATTCATCGGGACCCGCGGGTGTGGGTCGACCCGGAGAGGTTCGACCCGGATAGGTATGCGGGTTTGGAAGATGAGGATTATAGGTATAGATTGGTGCCGTTTGGAGCGGGGAGAAGGAAATGCCCCGGTTCGGGTCTTGCTAATAGGGTGGTGGCGCTGGCCTTGGCGGCGTTGATTCAGTGCTTTGAGTGGGAGAGGATTGGCGGCGGAGAGGCGGTGGATATGGCGGAGGGCGGTGGACTTTCGATGCCGAAGGCTGTTCCGTTGGAGGCCATGTGCAGAGCACGTGAGGATATGATGCACGTGCTCTTCAAACTATGAGTGTTTGTTCTACATATATATATAAGTTACTGAAATAAGGCCACTTGGCCACTTATATTGCTTTTATGCTTTTTGTTTCAAAATTTGAAGTGGAGAGAAAGAAAGAACCCCACCTTTTATAAACAATCGAAGGGCTATTTTTGTTTGAAATTGTCCGATATACAGTACAATGGTTGGTCAATTTTGAAAGGGGATGGATTAATCTTTAACGTTGCTTGACGGTAGAGGTCATTTTGTCGTATTTTGTGTCTGAGACTCTGATACTGATAATAGTATATGGGCGCAATTTGAATATAACCCTTGATATAATGAACAGGGCATGTTGTAAAGAGCAACTCCAAAGTCCAATGCTAAATATCAGGATTGAATTATCAAATATTCATTTGATCTTTGAGGTATTATTTCAATATTTATTAAAATTCATTTATTCTATCAAAGTAATTATCAATTGGAAGTTTATAGGTGATTTTATTTTAGTTGTCACATGTCAACTTATGATTGAATGTTTAGATGATTACATTTTTTATAACTCAATTTCTAGCAAGTATATTTACGTCCCAAGAGGTGAATTATCAAATTAAAACACTCATTTGATAACCCATTGGAATTAAAAAATTTGATATTTTTAGTATGCAAAGGAATGTTAAAGGTTTGAATACCATGTTTGATAACCTCATTGGAGTTGCTCCAACACTACAAGAAAATATAAAATATGCAACGATTTATCTATCGACAAAATTAATTTTGTTATCAATAGTTATATTTTAACAATGAAATAATATAGTACTTCTGGCTAAAGAATAACGTTTTAGCAAATCAATAAGAAATTCATCTAATACACTTCCGTCCAAATCATAAATATTAATCAAAAGTAATCTAACGATTGAATCAAGTGAGTATATGTTCCAGATTAGATCCCCTTACCAACAGTCATTGGGTCAAATTTGTTACACATAACTAGTCTAGAGTAATTTTCATTTCTCGTATATTTTACAAGTTATTATAGAAGAGTGTAGGTATGCTGAGTGGCCTCGATATATTAAGTAAAGTTGATTTTTAAATAATATATATATCAAGTAATAAAATCTCAAGAAACATAAAATAAACATCTGAAATTAAATGTTACACCTTATTATTTAAACGGGATGGATTTGAACCATAAATCTATACATACACACTCCTCTGTATGTGTGCTTGGTGAATAATTATTTAATTAAATCTGCGATGCAAATCTCCCAATATAAATAACTGGATAATAGTTAAAACTTATAATTGCAAAGAAAGAATCCAAGAAAACAAGACAAACTGAATTCACCAAAACTAATTAAAAAATAATAAACGACTTTATTACATGAAAATTTCGATTTAGCTAGATAGCCACACTGCGAAACTCCTCGTCATCTCCCACCACGTTCCCAGGAGCAGCCAATTCCACCGCCGCATTCTCATCGGCCACACTCCCACCACCACCGCCGCCGCTCCTGCCCTTAAACCGCCGCGCAACAACCAAGTACACCAAGAAATTGACCCCATTAATCCCCGTAAGAATCCAGTAAAAACAATCAAGCCGGCTAACATTAAGATCATCCCTCAGCCACCCCTTCCCCTCCCCCCCGCCGGAAGCTCTCTCCACCACCTTAACAATGGCGGTGCTCAGCCAACTCCCGATCCCAATCTCACTCAAGAACATCGCACTGCTTATACTCCTCGTACCGTCAGTCGCCTCGTCGTAGAAAAACTCCAGCTGCCCCACGTACGTGAAAACCTCCGCCGCACCCATCAGAAAAAACTGCGGGAAGAGCCAGAAAACACTCAGTCGGCGGCGGCGGTCGTCGTCGTCGGAGCTCGAATGAAATGAATCCCGACGCTTCTTCTCAACCAAGGCGGCGGAGAGCATGGCGAGGATCGAGACGAAGAGGCCGATCCCCATGCGCTGCAACGAGGTGATGCCACGTGGGTGGCCGGTACGGGAGCGGAGGAAGGGGACGGCGAGCTTTTCGTAGAGGGGGATTAGGAGGAGGGCGTTGACGGCGCTGAAGACGGGGGTTGAGCCCGCCGGAATCTCGAAGCTGCCGCCGAGGTGGCGGCGGGTGGTGGCGGCTTGGGCGATGAAGAAGGTGGAGAGCTGAGAGAAGGAGATGGCGAGGGCGATGGTGGATGCCCATATGGGGAGGATTCTGACGAAGGATTTGAATTCTTCGACTTGTGTTACTGTGCACAATCTCCATCGGTTCTTTGGGTTGTTGCTTTCGGGGTTTGTTATTACAGCTGCTTTGTCCAAGAATCTGCTTTGTCGGAGAATAAAATAATTAGAGAATATTTAGGGATTTACAATTTAAAAAATAATAATAAATAAAGGAAGTATGATACATATTCGACTGATCGAATCGAAATTAACATTTTTTAAGGTTTTTTTAAAAAATGAAAAACTATATTTAATTTAAAAAAAAATGGTATATCGGAAGGCGAAAATTTGAAATTTGGAATGCTTTTTTCTTTTTCTTTTTTTCCAAAATCAGAAACAGCCAAAATTGGATTTTTTCTTCTTCTATAATGTAAAATCAAAAATGGTCCATCCATCCCAAAATATTTGTCGCATGAAAATATATTTGTTTCCAAATTATTTGTCACTTTGGACTTTCAATAATGCATTAATCACACTTAATTAATTGATAGATAATTAGTTGAAAAATACTCTCTCCGTTCCCTTTTAATAGTTGTTTTTAGCTTTGCATGTGGATTAAAGATTTCATTAAATGTGTTTTGATTTTATAAAAATGTATGTTTTTAGACTGAAATAACCTTATCTTATAATTAATAAGTGAGAGAAATAAATTAAAAAAAGAGGATTATAAAGAGTTGTTTTTTTAGAGGTTAGTATTAGAAAGAGTTAATAAGGGTATAAATTAGAAATTAAGTAATTAATGCAGTATTGGAAATATAAAGTGACTGATAATATGGAACCAAATATTTTTAAACAAAGACAGTTATTATGAAACACATGAAATAATAATCCCAAGAATATATTAGTGACTTTCTTGTTTTCTTTTTTCTTTTTTTATGATACATATTTATTGGTTTTCTGAATCTGTGCAGACACTACAAAAGGACAAAAGTAGCATTATATCTTAATTTGAACTTTTGAAGATGTTTATGGAAACTAAAAATAGATCGGAAATTTGAATTTTCGGAATTCGAAAAGCAATATGTTACATATTGTTCCAATTGATTACTAACTTTTTTATTGGAATCTGCACAATTCGACGAACTTGGTTCCAATTTCTACCCCTATAGACAAACCCATTTTGCTTTACTAGATCACCATCTTTTCTGATTTAACTATAAATAAGAATTGAAAACCAAAAAAAAAATAATAATATTGAACTTGTAATTATGAAATACTTACCTATATTGATTCGTGTGAGGGAGTTTTCTTGCACCAACAATATCAGATTCTCTTGTCCTAACCTCATAAAGCTCACCTCCCCTCCCCACCTCAACACCCTTCACATGATTCCTCAAAGCAACCACCACGACTTGAATAAATCTCGTAAAAGCGCTTCCCATCGGCTTTTGGTACCGATACTTGAAAAAACCGGCGGCCAAGATGAAAGCAGAAACAATCATCAAAGCCGTCGGTACACCGAATCCCCAAACCCACCCGAACTCAACTTGTATGTACACCAAAATGGTGATCCCTAAAAGGGCACCCATGTTTATAGCAAAGAAGAACCAATTGAAAAACGCGTACTTCTTTTGGGCTTCGGTTGGATCCGATTCGTCGAATTGGTCCGCTCCGAATGTGGAAACGCACGGCTTGATGCCGCCGGTTCCTAGGGCTATAAGGGCCAACGCGCAGTATAGGAAGCTCGTTTGGCCGTTTGATGCCGGAATGCAGGGTTTCTTGATGCATTGAGGTGGCCTTAAGCTATCTATCGATGCCGAGAGTGTTAGTAACACCATACCCTTGAAGAAGGAAAAAAAAACGTATGAGTGAGATTCTTGTTGCATATATAAACCAAATCCTTCATTAAGTGCGTATTTCGTCTAGCACGATGGGATTAGACAAGATAAGATGCTCACAATCGTATACTAGGGCCATATTGTGTAGTTGGATAGATGGTTTAATACAGTAATATTCCGGAGTTTATTACATTTAGGCCATATTTGATTGGCAAGATACACTAGTAAAATAATTGCTTTTTACTACGAATTTTTTTGTTACGGTAAAAAGCCGCAGCAAATGGTATTTTTTACTACGAGATAATTTTGAAGTCGTAGTAAATACTATGATTTATCGTAGCAAAAAAACATTTGGTACGGCCATTTACCGTAGCAAAATTTTTGTCACGCCCGTATATGCTACGGGGCAAATGCGCAGCAAAAGCCTTTTTGCTGCGAATTTGATACCTTGTGCTACGATTAATGGTCGTAGTAAAAAGTCTTTTTCTACTAGTGATAAGATTAGCTAAGATAAGATTAATTTAATGAAACCCAATTATTTTATTGAAGCTCGCGACGTCCAACAAAAAAAATTCACTAGAAGACAACATAAGCCATGATTATATAATTTTGACGGGTCGACCCAGCAATTTATCGGAGATACCAAACATCAAATTAAATCCAACTATTTAGTTAATCATGGATTATCTTAGCAACCAAACGGGACCTTAGTACATTTACATCGAATGCTACAAAGTACAAACTCCCCATGTTACTTTTATTGGCATAAGCCGCCCTACCAATACATTTGTTTAGCGCATACGCCCATAAATAGTAAGCTCTTAGGGGTCATTCGTTAGGTTCAATTATTTAATTAATCATGATATACGGTGAAGCCTTAGGAGAAATATAATTTTTTTGGGATTTGTCGAAATTTTATTATTTAACTAAGCACAAAATAATGTCCAGTTATTTAATTAATCACGACGACATATAGTAAGGCCATAATTAGAAGAATCGAAACTTTTTTGTGCGAGATTTGTGGAAATTATTTTGAGGTAGAGCATGAAAATCTTACGACAGCATAGATACAAGAGAAGATAATGATGGTACGAAAGCGGCCCAAATAAGCATCTGCTAGAAAAGCTCCGAACAATGTAAGAACATAGGCGGCTCCAATCCAATCGGTGACGTGTGTGGCTGCATCGGGTAGAGACTGGTGCATCTCCCGCACCAGGTACGCCACCATGTTTACAGCTATCGCAAAGAATGCCAACCTCTCTGCCACCTCGTTCACTACACCCCCAAAAAAAACACAAAATTGATTTTGTTTGGTTTAATTAGATAATACTTATTATAAGATGGATCAAGAGATTAAGTATTATGTTGTCAAGTATAGAAATTTAATTAAGGAACCTATGATGAAAGGGGAGGCTTTCCATCCTCCGGTTGCCTGTTTATCTGCAATCGCGCCTTTGTAATCGACACATCCATTTGAAACTAGATTTGAATTTGCGCCTTCTTCCTAGTAATTGAAGTTAATTTTGAATCAATTGTTAGAAACACAAAACAAAATAAAAGTAAGTGTATAATTATGCTGCATACATATATATATGAGTAAGTATATATAATAGTACCTTCATTGTATACTTGTGTTTCATACTCCCATTTAGTGATGGCTCTCCACTATTTATTTCCATGAAGTTAAATGGCCTGATATTGCTACAACTATAACCAAATTATGATCTATATATATATATATATGTGTGTGTGTGTGCGTGTGTGTGTGTGTGTGTGTGAGAGAGAGAGAGAGAGAGAGAGAGAGAGAGAGAGAGAGAGAGAGAGAGAGATTTTATAACTAGACAAAATTGACTAGTATGCTTAAATTTCAGGCGGCAACAAAACAAATTTATAATCACACCCACCGAAATATTGTTTAACATTTGCACACATAAGGTCAACAGAAAAAGATGCAAAAACTGGAGTTGAATCAGTCAAACTGCAGTCCTAGCATTCAGGTGTATGGATTCATCCTTAGATAAATGACTTAGATTCCAATATATATATTACACGTATTTTATGGTTGTAATACAGCCTATGTAGCACGGACACAGAAACAACAATACGGGGAAACGGACACGGTGAAACGGCATGTTCCAGAAAAGGGATACGGAAGCTTAGGGTAAACGTGTAAATATTAAAAATATAGAGATGTATTTATAAATATGCTATATAAACTTTTATTTATATATAATATATATTTTTTTTCATACAAACATATTCAAAATATATTTTACTACCAAGTATCAATTTGCACTCGATCATTAAGTCATGCAAATAGTTAAGGAAGCAAAAAAAATTATTTAAAATTTTGCTATTCAAATATGTCTCTAACTTCTTAGAAATTGCGAAATGATCCATAAAGTATCCAGCAGGTGTTCTCGAGCATCGGACACAAAAGTATTCAAAACGCGGAACCGTGTTACATATAATACAACTAATTACTAAATAGACAGTTTACAGGCATGTAATATAGAATACATACATATATAACCGGCCGATGATAAACAATTAGCTAGAGGGTCTCAATTTGGTTAATTGTTTACAAACTTGTATTAAATTAATGCTGTTTGTGAAGTATTGGTTAACACCTCTGCTACTTTATTTCAGAATGGATGCAATAACGTAAAAAGGCAAAAATTATATAACGAATGATGAATTCTTGTTTTTAATTCTATTATACTTGAAACAATAAACATTTCGATTTAATATTAATATCTCCAATGCGCCCATTCAAGTATAGGAGAATTACATTTAAAGCCTTGCACTTTTTTTTTTTTTTTAGAAACAACGCACTTTATTAGGCAATATACGCCAAATTAGGTGGGAGAACAAGATCCTCCACCACGTTATTACAAGGAATCTGAGCAATAGCGTGGGCTAATTTATTACCCGACCGCTTCGTGAAATTAAAAGAGCAATATTGAAATTCTAGAGCCATTTGTCGGCAATCTTCCACAACAGCCCCGAAGTCAGCAGCCTCATTCTCTCCTTCGCGAAGAGCTTTAATAATTGGAAGACAATCCCCCTCGATGACAATATCAGACCAGCCTCTATCCTTGGCCATGGAAATGGCTTTGAGTGCCGCCAAAGCTTTCCTCTCCACCGGTTGAAAATTGCCACGAATCTTGACAACCTTCCAACCAATGCATCGACCAACCTCGTTCCTAGCAACAGCTGAGACTGAGATCCATTGTTGCCCTCGTGGTAGAGCTGCGTCAAAATTCACCTTGACACGACCATGCGACGGTGGAATCCACTCGCTGGGGTGAACGGTCTGCATCTGTGAATTCGGCTGGAGCTGAGCACTCTTAAAAGAAGCAAGATAAACCTTACACCAACTCACCATTTCATTCACGTGGAGCGCTTCTTCTCTTTTGATTTCCTTATTTCGTCGATCCCACGCTTTCCACGCCAAAACCATTGCAACAAGAAACTCGTCTGTCCCTAATAATTTTTGAACGTCAACAAACCAATTCCACATGGACGAAGTGTCAACATGGTGCAAAGCATCGAAAATGGGTAAGTTCCAAATAGCTTCCATTCCTCGGCATTGCAAAATAACATGCATGGCAGATTCTTCTTCGCTATTGCACCGACCGCACCATGGTGAGGCAACGATCTTCCGTCTAAATAACTCGACTTTAGTTGGCAAAATACCCCGACACAGGCGCCAAATAAACAACCAGATTTTTGGAGGAATAGGGAGACTCCATATAACAGGCCATTTACAAATTCCTGCCCCACTACTTGAGCCGTTTCTGCCTCGTCGTTAATTCACTAGGTCGGACAAATGAGAAAGAACCCTATGGTAACACGATCTCACCGAGAATCGACCATTTCTTGAAAAATGCCAAACCCAAATGTCCTTCGCATACCCGTTGCCCACCGGAATAGCCAAGATACGTTCGACGTCCACTGGCCAAAAAACATCATTTATCAGCTGCAAATTCCAAGAATTTGTATTCGACTCGATTATATCTGAGACCCTATCCGGAAAAGCCAAATTACTTCACGCTTGGTGAAAATCTTAAACCCCCCTCCCTCTCGAAGCCATGGATCACCCCATATAGATGTGTCGAGACCATTTCCAATTCTTCTACGGAGGCCCATCTTCAAAAACGGAATAACCTTCCAAATGCTTCTCCAAGTGGCGGATGGTCGAAATCCCACGTTTGCGTTAAAGAGATAGCCATTCGGAAAATACCTGGCATAGATAATCTTTGACAACAACAGATCTGGATTAGTGAAAATCCTCCACGCTTGTTTCACAAGCAACGCAAAATTGAAGGCTTTCAAGTCTCGAAATCCCAATCCTCCAAGTTCCTTAGCTTTGCACATCTCCCCCCACGACAACCAGACCATGCCCTTATTCTCTCCATTCCCCCACCAAAATCGTCTGATTGTCATTTCAATTTCCTGAATAAGTCCTTCGGGGAGAAGAAAACAGCTCATCACGTAAGTCGGGATAGCCTGTAGAACTGCTTTGATCAAAACTTCCTTGCCCGCTTTGGAGAGTTGTTTCTCCCCCCACCCTTGATCTTCAACCACACAAGGTCTCGTAAATAAGCAAATATCTCTTTTTTGGTTTTTCCAACGGACGCCGGCATCCCCAAATATTTGTCATGATGGTCCACAATTCGGAAGCCTAGGATTTGGTTAATGGCATTTCTCCGGGAGAGTTGGGTAGTCGGACTAAAAGTCATCGTAGATTTCTGATGATTAATCTCCTGCCCGGATACTCTGGCATACTTGACGAGAATTTCTTTCAAAGCAACTGCATATTCCTCAGTAGCATGCCCGAAAATAAGAGTGTCGTCGGCAAAGCACAAGCTAGACACCATCGGAGTTGTTTGGGCGACACGGACACCTTGGAATTCTCCTCTAACAGTGGCATTTGCAATCATTGCAATAAGAGCCTCAGCACAACAGATAAACAGGTATGGGGAGAGGGGGTCGCCCTGCCGAAGCCCTCTCGAGGGAACAACACCGCCAAACTGCGTACCATTAAATAAAAACGAAAATGAGACTGTAGTGATGCACAACATAATAAGATCAATAAAGCGAGAGGGGATTCCAAAACGAGAAAAAATCTTTTGCAGAAAAAGCCATTCAATCCGATCGTATGCCTTACTAATGTCCAATTTAATAGCCATGTAATTAGTTTTAATATTAGAGCTCAATTTAATGAAATGATTGATCTCAAAAGCAACGAGAACGTTATCAGAAATTAAACGTTTTGGAACGAAGGCAGACTGAGTAGGAGAGATCAAGTCATTTAAGACCAATTTTAGATGATTGGCTAAGACTTTCGACCCAAATTTATAAATAACGTTGCAAAGGCTTATAGGTCGATAATCAGTATTTTTTTCCGGTTTTTTCACCTTCGGGATTAAAACAATAAAAGTGGAATTAAGGTCAGGGGGAAGTTTGCGGTGATTCAAGAATTCAAGCACACAAGAAAGAACATCGGACCCTAACAAATGCCAATATTTAGTGAAAAAAACAACGGGTAAACCATTCGGGCCCGGGGATTTAAGAGGAGCCATTTAAGAAATGGCTCGGGTTACCTCATTCGAAGTAAAAGGCTTTGACAGAAGTTGACTAGCTTCCCTGGAAATTCTGGTCTCGACACTCGCCAACACCTCATCTATCTCATCCTCTCTCGGATTTGTGGACTTGAAGATGTGCTCGAAATAATTAGAAATAATATTCTCAGTGTCCTCATCTTTCTCTTTCCAAATTCCCTCTGTATCTTTAAGACGATCCACTCGATTTGTACGTCTCCTGATAGTGGCCTTGGAGTGAAAAAACCTCGTATTCCTGTCCCCTTCTTGAATCCATTGCACTCGATTGCGTTGGCGCCAGTACATGTCATCGTCTCCATAAGCTTGTTCTAACTCAGCTCTCACACCCCGAATTTCTTCCCTTCGAGCAACTGTTTGTTCGGCCAATAGGAGAGATTGGAGTCGTTTGTGAAGACTTTTAATCTTCTTTCTTGGCTGCTGAACCGTTAGTTTACTCCATAGGATCAACGCAAGACGACACTCAGAGTTTTTGTAGATCACCGACTCCATCGACCCTGCATCGACGCTCTTCCTCCATTGATTCTCTATGATCTGCTCACAATTCTCTCTTCGGAGCCAAGTAGCCTCAAATCGAAAAGGTCGTTTCTTACCCGAGATACGAGCACGAGTCGGTACTCTAAGAACAAGTTTGATAGGAACGTGATCCGATCCCGAGTAGTTCAAGTGGTGAACTCGAGCGTGAGGAAATTTGGAAATCCATTCTGAACTAGCACAAACTCTATCCAATCTACATCAAACCGTGTACGGTGAGACCCTATTGTTAGACCACGTAAAGGGCGGGCCTTCGTAGCCCAAATCCGTCAAACCGCAATCATCTAAAACCTCTCGAAACCGCTCAATATAGGACGGCTGCTTTTGTGGACCCCCCATCTTTTCATTATTGCTGAGGATCTCATTAAAATCCCATCCCACTATCCATGGTAAATCACGATGGTCACTCAAGCTACGCAACAGATCCCAAGAGCTTTCGACGACCCTGTTCTGGAAATCCGTAAAAACCCGTTACTCTCCATTTGCTATTCTGGTTTTCATCGAAAACCTCTGCATCAATATGATTATTAGAGTAACTAATCAAGTCAACCGCTAAATCTTTCTGCCAAAAAAGAACTAACCCACCAGATTGTCCCACCTTCTCCACACCAACTCCGTTAAGATTCCATTGTTTTTTCAATCTCTCAATACGAAGAAGTGTCGCCCTCGTTTCCGAGAGAAACACAATCCGGGGCCTGTGAACTCGGAGAATGTCTCCGAGTACGTGAATTGTCAAAGGCGCCCCGAGCCCTTGACAATTCCAGAATACGCAATTCATTGTTCTCGGCGGGACTGCCGCGCAGTCTCCGCCGTTGAAATAAGGTCCTCGTCATGTAAGCACAACATTTGTTTCTTCCCTGCTGAAACTCTGTCCAAAAGCCCCGACTCATTGGCCTTGTTCTTCCTGCCTTTTTTTATAATTGTGGTTGGCCTCCTATTGGCTATGGATTTGCCTCCACCTGCCTGAAATTGAATTGAATTATTAACCAGCGTGAAATCGTCCCAAAGTATTGGTATATTGTTCTCCTTCTCTTTTGCATAACATTCTTGTGACACCGAGTGATCCTTGTGAGCAGCAAAGTCAAAAATATGGATTCCCCTCTGGTGAGAATGGGAGCCCGAGGCTGCTCCATGACCATTTTTTGCATGTAGCTGTTTCAAAGGGTTCCTCACGTTGTATCCCTCGGTAGAATTAGTTGCTCGCAGCCACGTCCCATATGGTAAGTTCTCACCAGGGTCAATGAATCCCTCATCGTAGCGTGCAGGACAACGGTTTTCAGCATGCCCAATTTTTCCACAAAGAAAACAGAAATTCGGCAGCCTTTCATACGAAAAGGCTAGCCAAATTTTGGAGCCGTCGTGACTGTGCAAGTTCATTCCACGCTTGAGACTATCATTCACATTGATCCGAACTTTCGCTCGCATAAACTGAACAAACTCTATATGCTTTGAATTGACAACCTCGATTAACTCGCCTACCTTGCTGCAAATCTGTGTTGCCATCTGTGTGTTTCTCTTTGAAACTGGGAGATTGTGAATTCTCATCACAATGGTCATCATGTAAATATCCATTGAGATTAGGTCTGACTCTATCTCCAGTTCATGGAAAATGAGTGCATTTTTATCCAACAACCATGGGCGTCCAGAAAAGGGCGTGTAGATAATCCAACCTATGCTCGAAGCCAATGATGAATCTGTTGGGCCCAAGCGTGTGGATGTTAACTGATTTAACAGGTTGCAGAATACGTATCACATTTGATTTAATCGAATGTGCCGAAATCTCTCTAGCAGTGACCACCCGACCAACCAGTTGGAGACCTCGATCCCCAACCCTATTCTCCGAGAGGGATTCAGGGATAGTTATTCCATCATCTTCCTCTTCGGTAAGAGTAAGCCCTTTCGCCATGGATTCCGATATTCTTTCCATGATGAGAGGAGAAGATAGATAAGGTGTCGTGAGTTACGAGATGAGGAGTCCGAGGAAGCGTTGTCAACTTCAGATCTGAAAGCAAAAAGGAAGCGGATAAAGTAGGGTTAGCTGATAAGAAAAGAGAAGGCAAAGATAAAAGATAAACGAAAAAGGAGCGGCGAAACCCTAACAAATAAACCCTAATAAAGCCACCAAAACACGTCAGTAAATCAAGATAAAAGTATAGCACACGATCCAAAATTCTGGTCTCTGCAAAAGCGGAAAAAAATTCCGTTCAATCGAGAGAAGGAACGGGGAATCCTGTCCGAGAACAAAACAAACGAACGCCTCCCACTATGAGAGAAAACCGCCTCTCATTCAGAGAGAAACCCCATCGACAAAGCCTTGCACTTGAAATATTTGAAATGAGTGGCGGTGGGATTCAAACTCAGGACTTTTCGTTTGGTCTGGCTCTGATACCATGTTGAATGACCATCTCAACCAAAAGTTTAAGTTGTTAGTGAAATGTATAATTTAATTGTTAGTGAAATGTATAACTTAATATTAATGTCTTCAATATTATATTCGACCGCTCGTTAACTTTTGTGTTTGAGAGTAGGGGTGAGAAAAAAAAAACCGAGGAACCGAAAACCGACAAAACCGAACCGAAGCATAAACCGCATACTCGGTTTTCAATTTTATGTGAACCGAAAATTTCGGTTCGTATTCGGTTTTCCAAGTAGGGAACCAAACCGACATCAATACGACGTCGTTTCATTAAGTATATATATATATATATATATATATATATATATATATATATATATATATATATATATATATATATATATATATATATATATATATAATATATAAAATTATATTACATTAAATTAAAAAAAACCGATTTATCGCCAATTTATCGCCGATTAATCACCGCCGCACTGATTAATCGTGAGGTGTTGTCTAACCGAATCGAGTCCGATTCCCGCCTTTTACAACCTTGATATATATCATCAAAGCATTTTTTGAATGCATGGCGTCCAACTACAAATACACTTGACATATATCGACGAATAATCCATAGGGGCTTTTGTGCATAAGTCATTGACCAACTGTCTTTATTATTCTAGGTTCAGGGGTTATATCTCTTTCGCTAATAAGCTCATTCCTTTAATATGTGTTATAAATAAAAGAAAAATTAATGTATATGACAAAATTACCCCAAACCCTTTACACTCAATTCTTAATTGTAAACCCAATTTAATCAATTTTGACCACAAAAATCCAATTTCGACTTTTTTTAAACTTTTTGTTTTTCAGAAATTATTTTTTTGCCGCCGGTCTCTGGCGTTGACTTTTCGATTTTTTCTTCCTCTGGCCTTTTTTTTCTACCACCGGTTTCCGGCGTTGACTTTTTTTAATGATTTTTTTTTACGTCTGCCGCTAAGCGTTGACCGTAATTGTGCTGTCATTAACAGTAATTAAAGTCATTGACAGTAATTATACTGTCACTGACAGTACATTAACGTAATTGTACTGTCGTTGACAGTACATTTATGTAATTGTACTGTCGTTGACAGTACATTTATGTAATTGTACTGTCGTTGACAGTACAATTAGAGTCAACGACAATATTATTAATTTTTTGTTATTCTTTTTTAAATTTGTCTGATTTGTTGACAAGTCAACGTAATTATATTACTGTCGTTGACAGTAAAATAATTGTAAACACGATAATATTACTGTCAACCACATTAATATTATTATTTTTTGGATTTTTTTTTTGTTTGAGTTATATACGGAGTAACGTAATAATATTATTATGGTTGACACTAATATTACTGTTGTTACAGTAATATTACTCTCAACCATAGTAATATTAATTCATTTTGGTTTTTTTATTATGTTTACCTTCGTTGAACGGCCAACATATTAATATTACTCTATTACACAATAATAATGACTTGTTGTTGTGTTAATATTAAGGTTTGTAAAAAGCGGTAATCGGGTCGGAGGCGATTAGGCACCGACTCACGATGGTGCGGCAGTGATTAATCGGTGAAAAATCGGAATAAATCAATTTTTAAAATTTAATATAATATATTTCTAGATATTATTTATAAATACTCAAAATATATATAAAAAGATATTGAAACATAGTTATATCTTCATCATGTATATATCCTAATAATATAATAAAAGTTTAATAATAATAAAATCATAATACGTAAATATCCTTATAAAATATAAATAAAAATGCAAATTTTTTGAATTTAAATTTATTCTTCAACTTTTTTGGCATACATCATTAAATTCTTTAACAATAACAGTTAACGTAAATAAAATAAAGCATAAACTCATTTTTTTTTGAAAAAAAAAAAGAAAAAATAAACGATTTTAGCCGAATTTTGCCCCGAAGTTTGACCCGCCTTAAAGGTTTGACCGCCTTGGACAGCCTCAACCCGCCTAAAATCGCCTCATGGAAAAAACCGATTTTTCAAACCCCTTTACACTAAAATCGTAAATGTTTGGGAACGCCTCCGCCTCGGAGACCGATTAATCGGCCGCCTCGGCCGATTTTTGGAATACTGGTTAATATTACTGTGCTAGAGATTAATAAAGCAATATTAATGTGTTAAACTGTAATATAGTTAATTTTACTGTGTTTAACAATAATATAGTTAATATTACTGTCAACCACAACAATATTATTAAAGGAAAACAGGGCAAAAAGATGTTAAAGGAAAAAAAATTCAAAAAAAAAAAAAAAAAAAAAGTCAACGCCGGTGTCGGACGAAAAATTGTCCATAAAATTGTGTTTTAGGTCAAAATTGAATAATTTTGGGTCAAATTGAAGTAAGATTAAATTAAAGGATGAAATAGAGCATATTAAAATGTGAGGGGCTATTTTAGTATTTTACAAACCTCTGGTCCATGTATGAACTGTATTATAAAAGTTTTTATTGTCTGGACCCCTTTATAAATAAGTACCATTTGATTGGTTTATTTGTAAAGTGCAACTTTCCATATTATTATGAGATAAATATCCTTTTGTGGCCTTCCCATGAGTAGCACGAATTATCCATATTATTATGTCAAAATAATATGGGTATTTTTTTGACATTTTATTCCGTTTGCCTCTGTCAAATTTTCTTCCATATCTCTAGATTATTTTCCTTCACGATTTCTTTGTGAAATGTTTCGGTTGACAATTTGGGAAGAAAAAATACCACATCATTCAAAGTCAAAGTTTTATCATTAAATTCATTAATGAGGGGGGTAAGTGTTACATTTGTAACTTTAAGGGGGTAAGTGTTACCACCCCTATAGTTTAAGGGTGCAAAGTGTATTTAGCCCTTTCTTTTATATATAAGATTACGTTGACTGGTCAACAAATAAAACAAAATAAAAAAAAGTCAAAAAAAAAAATAATGTTGATGTGGTTGACAGTAATATTATTGTGTTTACAGTAATTTTACCGTCAACCGCAAAAGTATTACTATTCAAAAGTCAGCGGTGGGAGCAAAAAACATTCAGAAAAAAAAAAAAGTTCAAAAATAAAAAATTAAAATTGATTTTTTGAAAAGAAACAGTAGCATTTAGTTTGGATTACGGTATTCACCCTCAAATTAATGTTATTGAAGTTCGAAAGTGCACATTCGAGAAGATCAAATAACAATTCCTTCCAATTTTATTATTGAGTACTTCATCACACGTTCCTTCAAACATTAACGTTTGATTCGAGGTCAAATGCATGCAAGACCATCAAATTAACGTTATCAAAGCGTTCATTTGGAATAGACAAAGCACCAATTCCGTGAAATTTTATAAGGCGCATATGGCACGTCCTTCAAGCCGTAACGTTT